ATAAATACTTACGGATGCGAAGTCATAACTAACTAGATTACTTACTAAATTCACCTACCTACCGTTAGCTGCATAAATTATGTCTTTGTAAAGAAAATATTGCCGTTTTGTACAGGGCTAACTGGAGCGTCACCTTATTTGAATAAAAATATTGAAGTTACTGAATTGAACTTGAAATCCTTGTAGCGAAAAATATTTAAAAGACCCACGGCTAGCACTTCATTTAAACTTGACGATGATGGGTTAATGACAGGTTCTCCTCGTCTCCCTTACTGAAAAACAACCGTAGAACCTGGTTTACTAACTTACTGGCCAAATAAAATACAAAATTACTATAAAGCTTTGAATATATTGACAAGAAACCAGCCATGAAATAGATCCAATTTATATTTCCCCTACAGATGCTCCATTTACAACCATTACTAGGAATTTTAACCTAAATAGAGTAATTTCGTGACTACGATCTTTTAAACTATCTTTAATTCAATATAGAACCTAACAACAGTACACGGCAATTTATTTAACTATACAAAATACACTGTATATACGGTTTTCGCTATAAATAGCGGTACACGTCATCAACAGAAGAAAATGGCATGCCAATTTAAATCAAGATTTGGCGGATTTATATTCATTATTATTTAGTTACTTTTTAGGAGAATAAGTTGGCAGTTTCAGAATTTTTTTTACAATGTTGTCAAACGTTATTTCGTTATTTGTTGACATTTGACACTTTGGTTCGGTTTTTGCGTGTGAAAGTTTTCGGTTATTCTTGTGGTTGTTATTATTCTTCTTCGCTCTTAGTGCAAAAAAATGTGTTCTTTTCAGAACAAAATTGCTGTTTGTTTGTGTACATTCTACCGTTATTTGCATTCGTACTCGCCACAATGCCGAAACATTTGAACGGTAAAGCGAAGGAACTCGTTGCCTCTTTAATTCAATATTTTGAACAGGAACGAGATAATGGGGGACTACTTTAGCCCAGAATAGGAAAAATAGAGGAAGTAATTCATGTATTACCAGTTCCTTCGGAATTGTGTAAGGGACGTTTCCCTAATCAACGTAAAGTAAAGTCCCCCCGACTACCGGCTGTGCTAAAGGGGGGAGGGGAGCCAGAGTGGCTCTGAAGGTCCCATTTTATAGTTTTTTGCTTACACCGTGGAAAAGGTACGCTATAGCAAAAAAGTTTGTACTTAAGAATGAAAGCTTATTAAATTTGCTATAACTTTGAGTAGATACATAATTATGAAAAAACGCATCGTTTTTATGTTACTGACTATCCAAGGTTGAATATTTTCATATATGTGGATTACATTACATATCAATGTAGTATATGACCAATAGGTAGCTACATCATGATTTCCTTTGTTTTTTTCCCTCCAGGAAACCTCATCGTAACTGCATAAAGGAGAGGTAGTAATTCGAAGGTGGATCGTGCTATATACAATTTGTAACATCAGATATTAACAGTACCTAAGACTAATTTTCGCTGTCCGAAAAAGTGAATGTGTCGATGTTGTCTTCTTCATCGCCGTCCTCGAGGACCGGTGGGCCGTTAAAGTACGCACTTTCACATCCACAAGCTGAAGTGCAGTTGATGCTCGTCTTACGACACCCACACCTCGGGCCGCATCCAGTTCCAGTAGTTCAGCGGCAGAAGATGGAACTTACGACATTGGCCGGTGCTGGCGGATCGCTGTGTATAATCCACATATTCAATTTTGGTGGGTCAAAAACTTAAAAACGGTGGGTTTTTAAGAAAGTGTATAGAATCAAAGTTGTAGCAAATTTAATGAGCTTGTACTTATATGAAAAGAATTTTTTTCTAGAACACACCGTTTTCGAATTGTAAGTAAAAAACTATAAAATGTGACCATCAAAACCACGGTCTCCCCCCTCACCCCTCTAGCACACCCGGTACTCGAGGGGACTTTATTATATGTTGATCAGAGAACCTTCTGCTACACATTTCCGAAGGAATGAGTAATACATGATTTAGTTCCCCTATTTGCCATTTTTTGATCTATTCTTACTGGACTACTTCTACTAAATGTGATTACCTTCAGCGCGTTGCGGCAGCATTAAATTTAAACATTTCTACAGTCAGCAGAATTTCCCAAGCTGTTAAACAAAACGAAGCTTTGATATCCCCACCAAGGAAAGTTTGCCGAAAGAGGAAAGTTACAGACACACAGTCATTGAATAAAAGAAGTGTAAAAAGCAAAACTGATGGCAAAAGGTGACTTTTATTAAATTGTTGATGCCATTTACATTTGTGACATTTTAGATACATTGTGCTGCATGCGAGAATGGATTCATTTCTGGAGCAGATCTCGTATTTAAATCTAAAAGTACTGGCGATTACCACGGGGAAATGAATCGGGAAAACTTTTTACAATGGTTTGAAAAACAATTATTAGTAAATTTAGAAGAACCAAGTGTTATCGTATCTTACCACAATGCCTTATTGACACAAAATTCGAACAACTCGTGGAGAAAAGCAGATATTCAAGATTGGTTACACAATAAGAGAATGGAATTTTTTGAAACCTTTTTACGATCATATCAGCATATGTTGATTATCATTTTTCGTAGTTCAATAAAATTTCTTGTGTTTTTGTCTCGGTTGAACTTACTAGTCCCAAATTCCACTACAGCAACAGTTGGCCATATGCTGCTCTTGTAAAATAACGTAAACCAGTCAAGATTTCAAGCAAGCATTAACTTGATATTTATTTGCTGATGGGCAATGCAATGGTTTATAACTTCCGAAACATTTACATAATGCCGCAATGCCCACATTCCTCATCTTTCTGCTCACAACGGCAGCGATACGTTATAAACAAAATGCTAATAGTAGGTACTACAGACTTAGTAGACTGCACTTTCCTTGAACCCGTCGCGGCACAGTAGGAAGGGGTTTTATTTAGGCACAGTAGGTTGGTTTCACACAGAGAGCCCAAAAAATGATCTCTGAATTTTCTAGTTCCTCTGGATGGTAGAAACATAAGACATAACCTAAAAGTGTTTCCTAAATAAAAGATTAATATATCAGCATACCTTAGAAATATTTGGCAATGCCGTGTATTGTTGACGTCATTAAATCAATGACGTGCAACGCTTTTTATAGCGAAAACCCTATAACTTGTCAGATTGGAGATTCTCTTTATTGAACTTTACACAAACCAACTTTTCTCTATCAAATCCAATTCCAATGGGTCCGTCCATAAAGGATAAATTTCATGTAATCCAAACGGATCCAATTTACCTATAGATTGATATGTTTAAGAAAACAAATCCAATTTTCCATGGCAATTACCCACCAAATGCAGGTTACGAAAATTGATCTTAATCCTCCATTTCGCGCGTATTTTCACATCAATATTTTTTCACGTTGCTCCATTTGCTCGATTGTTTCGATTTTTTTAACTAATGTTCCTACTGTTTTTCAAGTGATTCAAAAAACGATGTTTTTACTTTGTTTGCTTCAATCCCACCCCTTAACACTAATTTAACATTGTATTCTACTTCCCTGAGAGCAAACGAAAGGCGTTTCCCCCTACTCATTTCAAAATTTGACTCGTAGACGGTCTTAACTCCGTCGATGCGTGCAGTTGAGGGTTAACGATATTTTATTAATGTTTATTTTTAAATACGAACGTTTGGTCGCCGCTATATCACTTAATACCGAAAATTAATGATAAACCTTTGTGCCAACGGAAACATTAAAACTTTTATTTGGGGTTGTCCTTGATCGAATATGTGCGAAGGAAATACGACTACTAAACGATAGCTTTTATTTAATGCACGATAGTCTTCCAAAACAAACACGGTTAATTAATTCACATAGGTATTTTTTAATTGTACTGTATTTTAGTATGTAGTTGGCAATTTACATTTCTATGACTTGGTTTTATTATGCCAGAAAACTAGCGATTTCAAAACGAATTTTATCGCAGCAACCGACGTGGTTACTCATTTTCAATCAGAACCGGAAGAAAACTATATTTTTGAACAGTACGGTTAACGCTCCCGTATCCCGAACGCCTTCAAAAATCTCTCCAGATTATCCCTACTTATTTTCCTCTAATTAATTAACGCCTTTTTTTCAAAATGAAAGTTCTACGATATTCCGTTGTCGAAATGTCGATCGATTTGTAAACAGCCGACAGTTAGTGGAACAATAAGCTCCTCTTTCAGAATCAAAAATCGCTAAAAATGAGGATCACACAGGGCTTACTTACTGAATCTCAATTACACGTTTCAACTCAAAGAGGATTTGAGTTCATTTTCAGCATAACTTGCTATAATATAAGATGATACTACCTATATATCTTACTGTAGTAGATTCACAATTAAGGAAAGACTTATAACAACATTAATCATCTAAGGCTAAGGTTTTTCCATAATAATGTCTAAATTATGTCTGCATATAGCTTTTGAACTAACCTCAAAAACGAAACGAGCATTGGGTGTAAACAAATGTTGAAAAAACAAAATACAAAATCTTAATTTATTTGATTTCACGCGAAAGCGATTTCTAAATTAGACTGCGTCCAAACTTTTACTAGGGCGAAATGTAAACTCCTGTTTTCGATTACTGGAAGTTTCTGCAACTGATTTCAGTTGGAAAATCGGGGATTTTAGTAGTATCCGAAAAAAAGGGTGCCATTTGCATATAGAAGAGGATATTCCAACAAATTTTCGTGGTAGTCTACTTATTGGCATCGCGAAAACTTCCAATTAAGTAGTGAGGTGAGGGATGATGGTTAATTGTTGGGAAGACTAAACTTTTTCAAAGTTATGAGCTCATCAGGCCGTCGGAGATTAAGGATCTTGTACAGCAAGAGTATGAGATTAAAGTATCATTATTTTAACGTGCAATGTTAGAAAAACTCGCGCTACATTTGCGCGCCTTGCGGTGCGCGTCATTCTTGTGATAAATCTCCTTCATGCCGGCGTAACCCGTCAGTATCGCGGCGTCACGGAGCGTCGCAACGAATAACCAAACAATTTCAGAAAGGACGAAACTTACTTCGACAACTTTTCATTGACCGTCCACTGCGCGCAAAGTTTTCCTAAACTTTTATTTAGTTAAAAATCAATTTTCAAGATACTTTCTCGTACTGCACTTTCCAATAAATGACTCCCTATTATTTTTGAACTTTTTGGTAAGTAGCTATTACAGGATCTTTTCTAATTTATTTCTAATAATTGCGTTACTCAAACACTTTCACACAATTTCCAACAAGTTAAGTGTTTATTAATTTGAAGAATATGTTGTCGTTAATTATTATAGTTTCGAAAACACAACCGATTCTTACCCCGGTTAATTAATTCCCCCATATAATTACAAATTGTCTCTTCGTGTTATTGAAAATTTGTCTTAATAAAAGGTTTTGAAAGTTTCTTTCGTAAATATTTCCGACGCTCAAAATCTGCTACGTAATTGAGTACGGTTACCAAATGGCAGTGACTGAATAAATCTTAGACTATTAACATTTAAAGTGTAGTGGATAGCCCTAATACCAGAAGTGGCACTTGAAATTTAGTTTCACTACTTAGAAAATTGTGAAAGTGATTACAGACGGTGTTGGAAAAGTGCTGTAATTTGAAATTGAGATTGCAAATTTGGGCGTGCAGCATCGCAAAAAATCTGTAATTAGTTTTATCCTCTTGTTGCTTTAACATGGTAACTTTATTGTTTATGTTTGGTGAAGGGGTTTCATGTTGAATTATGGAAAAGTTAAAAAAAAGCGCTTCGGAAATGCATATTAATTCTTCACTCTCCACTTTACATATAAATTTAAAAAAAAACATTAATTCCCAGTGGATAAGCGGGTAACGACCAGGAATGTTGTCGATTCGTATAAATCAGTTTCTTATTCGATAAATTTTTGCGTAAGTAGGTACTTTCAGTTGTTTACTCAATAGTCAGCACCCATTAAACGTAAAATTGAACTTCCGGATGTTTTTCTGCATGGTTAAAAATTTTTGCTAAAGGTGCTAGTTATACAGGGTGTTCCTACATCAGATGTAAATACGGAAGGGACTAATTCTCTGGATTATGTTATGACGAAAACATAGGGCCGCAGACACTTCGTTACCGATCTATAGGGTGTTAAAATTTCAAGATTTTTATATTTTTTCTTTATATCTCCTGCAATTATGGAAATATTTAGCTCAGATTTGAAATATAAGTTACGCTGAAAGGATTACATCGTTGGTCATTCAGTGGTACTGAGAATCTACAGTGGTCATTACAGGCACTGTCATACAGATCTACAGGGGTCATGTTCTGCTTTTTACCCCTATACTTTTCTTCGGTGTGCCACTGATAGACTGCGAAACAAGAATTAAATTTCCTGATTTGTTTAGAAACGTTTTGGTCTCTTGTAATTTTTTCGTATTTGTCATTACTGAGAAAAAAAAATAAAAATCAATTTTCGGTAGTTAGCTAAACGAAAGTATAATTTTTAAGATGGTTCAGGCCCTGGATTTTTTAGTTTTTTTTCGTTTTGACAGTTTGCATTGCATTTTGTGTTTGAATATGTTCATAAATTATAGGTTTAAATAGTAAAGTATGTGGTAGGACTATATAACACCCTGTAGATCGGCAACGAAGCGTTTGCGGACGTATGTTTAATGTTTATATGAACTTTTAGACATGAAATAAGCCAATGGATTAGCTCCTTCCGTATTTACATGATATTTAGGAACACCCTGTATAACTAAACGCACTTTTGTTATCAAACATTAATTATTGTAAATACGTAGAAACATCTGTCTAACTTAACTAAGCTAAAAGCACCTTCCAAAAAAATTCAAACACCGCAGCGCTTTTCAAATCTGAAAAAATAATTAAACCAGCTGAATTTTTCCGCGGGTGAAATCCCGGGGGTTGAAAGGGGTGGAAAGTGGTGTTTTGCAAATTGTGGCAAAGCTATTAATTTTTGGGCTCATAAAGTTGAACCGTTTCCAAGATCTCACGATTTAAAAAAAAACCACCTCTTTTTCAAGGGGATGAAAAATCTATTTTTTTTCATCGTATAGAGGTGCGCGAGGTAGCAAAATTTTCGGTAAGGCTTATATTTTAATAAACAAAAATAAAAAACTATTATTCCTACAGCAAAAATTCGAGAGAATCGCCAAAAACTGGAGAAACAGTTTTAAGATATACACGGTTTTTGACATGATAAATCAACATGTTGGATGTTAAAAAAGAAATTTGTTTTCTTGCTTCTCTTTAATGTTTGCTTGAATATTCTCTTTTGTTATCTTATGTTCAATTGTTTTAGTTAAAACATCTTTATTATTTCTTTTTTCTGCATTTTTACCGCAATAAAAGCAATTCGAAATAAAATCTTATTATTATCTTGCTTCCTGATTCCTGAACAATTTCTTTTTGTTCACTGACTCTTCTTCCTGCCTGATTTATGCTGATGCAATTGTGTTGGGCTTGTTGATAAACTTGCAAAATCTGCAATAAGAACGTTAGTTTTATCGGCGAAAGCAAAATAATGATTTGAATTAAATCCTGGAATAAACTTTATCAGGATTTTATTTATATTTCCTGTAAATTAACGATCAACAGGCCCAACTTAATCCAATCAGCTGTAAAACAGGCAGGAAGAAGAGTTAGTGAACAAAAACAAATTGTTCAGGAAGCAAAAGAATTCGATTTTACTTCAAATTGCTTTTATTGCAGTAAAATGCAGAAAAAAGAAATAATACAGTTGCTTAATTAAGGCAGTGGGGCACTAGGAAGCAAAAGAAATAATTTTAGCAACAGAGGAGAGAGAAGACAGATTTCAAAAACTTTTTATTAGCGCGGATCCAATATGTTAATTTATTTGCAAAAAAAAACCATTTACCTACTGTCAAAAACGGTATATCTTAAAACTGTTCCCCCCATTTTTGCCACTTTTCTTAAAATTTTTCTATTTTATTATAATATTTTTTATTTTTGATTATTAAAATGTAAGTCGTTACGAAAATTTTGCTACCCCGCGCACCTCCGTACGATGAAAAAAAATAGATTTTCCATCCCCTTGAAAAAGAGGTGGTTTTTTTCAGAAATTGTGAGATCTAGGAAACGGTTCAACTTTACAGGTCCAAAAAATTATCTTCTTTTTTATCATAAAACATGCTATGTTTCCTCCAAATTTGAAACCCCTACGACATTTTTTTCGCAAAAAAAAAGAATAAAAACAGTTTTTCCGGTTTTTCTAGGAAAGTTGGAGGTTATGTGAAAATAGTGCAGATACAAAAGTTGCTCATGGCTATAACTTTTACATTTAACATTTTCGTCTAAAATTAATAGTTTTGCCACAATTTGCAAAACACCACTTTCCACCCTTTTCAGCCCTCGGGATTTTACCCGCGGAAAAATTCTGCTGTTTTAATTATTTTTTCCCAATTTCTAATGCCTGAAAAACCCGGTTTCGCCCGTTAACTATTTTTTTTTAAAATAAGTTATTTTAGAGCTATTTAGCCTGGACTATTTTTCCATATGTGGCGCTAGTAGTATCGCACTCTGAAAAGGACGAGAGGATTTAATTGTAGAGTTCAAATTTATGTATGTTATGCATAATAGCTATTTTAGTTATGCAATGATAATAGTTATATTATAGACGAGCTGCTCTGTCCCGAAAAAGACTGTTTCTCCTCGTAATAGATCACGATTCCATGCATATGAAACGCATGACGTTAATCCTTAACTCTCGGTACAAACTAAAAGTTTAGGGTTCTCTGATTCTACTATGCATAACAAACTCGCATTAATTGCTATTTATCAAATTGCAGTACCCTTACAACATTTTGATTGGACTACTAATAATTCTTGGCTTTATAGTTAAATTAATGGATCTTAAAGTAGTTTAGACATGTAACATCTGTAGGCCTCGACTCTTGGAAAATTGATATTTTAGAATATCTCGACGAGCATTTATATATAATACAACTATACAATTTCCAATATATTATTTAGTGGAGAAATTTTTGAGGTTGAACATAACCAAACCAAAAACGCTTGTATGGATAAATGATGGGTTCATTTGAAAATTTATGTGAGCACAACCTATGTACTTATGTACGTAACGGCTTTTAGCGAAAATCGTTTTGAGTTTTTTTAAGTTATTTAAGAATAAGAGCCTTTCGAACACGCATTGGTTTCAGAAAAATTAGCCTGTAGTATTAAAATTCATGCCTAGAGTTGGTGATTTTAACGCGAAGTTGCAAAACAAACCCTTTTATTCATTCATTATAGCTATTAGTAAAATGAACAAACTTTTACATTATAAGTTAACCTATTTCGATATATCCACCACCCTCCTTTCCCCGTCCAGATTCTGTTGCGCTGGACATTGAAAACAGATCCCTCCACAAAGTTTTGTTTGTTTGCAATCAATCAGCAGAGTAACGTAACTTAAGTTTCATCAAACATCTGTCGGAAATCGATTTTTGGTTGGGTTCGAGCAAGTTTGGGTTGTTTGTAGGTATTATGTATTCTGGACCCATTACAACTTTTATTAGGTCGCTTTACCTTTACGTCAAAGTGAAGGAAAAACAAATTCCTATGCTAACCTTGTCGTTTAAATTGCAAAATATGTACATAGACAACTTTCGTTCGGTTTAAGCTGGAAGCTTGTTTGCAATATAATATGGACTATGCGCTTTCCCATAAAAGAGGAATTTGAACTTCTAAGTAAAAGCGTGACGAGTTTATTAGGTCGCCTATTTTCCCAAAGCACGATTGATTGATGTTACCCTTTCACATTTCTGTTTTTCTAACCTAGTATGCTTGCTATTTACTGGGATTAAATGTCGTTTGCAATTTAAAATACAGGATTTTGTTCGAATTTATTTACATTTTTTACTAAATGAATGATCTTTTTCAGTGTTTATCGTGATATCAACCATTCTCTAGGATATATTAAGTTGGAAATATTCTTCCTACAAAACTGTTTAGCTCTTCTCTCCCTGTCTGTATTAATTTTTCTGTAAACGTATCCACGGGTATTCCCGAGGGTATTCCTGATGTTAAAAGGTACTAGTAGTCCGGTCCAGTCAAATTGCGGTTTGAGCTAGATGTTGTCACTTCACTCAATGAAACTAAGTAGTATGTAAAAAAAATGTGCTAAATCCCAAAATCATAGTCATAGTCCCTAAA